CCCACTAGATTCCTTCTCCCTCTGCTTCCCATTCACATTGATAGACTGGCTTTAGCATTATAGAGGCTAACTTCTAGCATGACTAGGCTGGTCTCCCACTTTATTAGATGTATACCTTTTTAAAAAGAAAACTTTATCAAGAAAAACTGACATACAAAGTCTAGTATCGACATGCATTGGCAGTTGTTCCTTTGACAGAATTTACTGTCTGGTTTTTCTAGCTTTTTACTATTATTTAACATGACGTTAAGCATAGATATTAAACATAAAGCATATTTACATAAAACAATATTATGAAGCTGACAACCTAAGCAATATATTTAATACTGTCAGCTTCATAATATTTTGTATATGTTTTAGGTTTAATATTGATGCCTGTCATCATGTTAAATAACAGTAAATTCTGTCAAAGAAACACCTATAAATTTTGTATGTCAACTATTTTTCTTGATAACTTTTATTAAAAATAAAAAAGTATGCATCTAATAAAGTGGGGACCAGCAYAGGCCTGCTAGATGTTTGCCTCTCCAGTGCAAGTAGGGGTCTCTGCGGATGAGTGGGCGTGTCACAAGGAAAGGCGATTCTAAAGCGACACACCGGATTTGACGGACTTTGTTAAAGGGACTCACCTGACTGGACAAGCAAAAAAGGGGCGACACCGTACGGCACCACCTCATTGGACAAGAACAAAAGGGGCGTTACTGCACGGCACCACTTTTTCTGGAGAACCCTACTTGGGTCACATTTCTCCTGGTTAACCTTAGTGTTGGGGTCAGGGTCAGGCTGTAAAGAGATCAAGCAGGATCTAAAGATACCGTCATGTAGGCCTCGTAGCCCACAGTGTTTATGCTTTAGACACGCCCACTCTTGTGACACACCCACTTTGATTCTGCAGATAACCCCTTCTCCTCCAGTGCTAACAYATATGAGTTGTCTTCCTTTCATCTGTTAGTGTCGGCCTCTCAGTTGTGCCGTCCTATCACTGATCAGATCAGTGGTTTCCTGCTACAAAGACGTACTCACTGCTGGTTGCGCCATAGTCTTAATTTTGGCCCTAATATTGCACCATACTCAGGGACCTTTGCATTAAAAACAGGTCTRGTTCTGTTCTTGACATCACTACATAAACACTTAACACAAACCATAGTCTGGTTAAAGCTCTGGCATGCCAAGATGAAGCCAAAAGTGAACACCATCTAGAGACGCAACCCGTCTTTTCTGTGGACCAAAGCTCATAAAAGGACAACTGTTTTTGGGAAACACTGAGACTATGTCCTCTTTACCAAAGAGGAGAGGAGACCATCGAGGCTGCTATCAGCGCAGAGTTCAAAAACCTGCCTCTCTGATGCTATGGGGGTGCATTAGTGCCTCTGGCATAAGCAGCTTACACAACTGAAAAGGCATCAATGCAGAAAAATCGAAACGTTTTAGAACATGTGCTTCTGTCATGAAGATGCACGTTTCAGGTAAAGCCTTGCAGATTTCAGCAAGACGATTCACGAACTGCATCCATTACAACAACATGGCTTTGTTATACAGAAGAAGAATCCAACCTGCCTCTACAGTCAAAAAAGTTTGGAAAAGACGACCCAGGACCAACATCTCCCTCCAAAACCTCCCAACTCCCATCTCTTCAGTTCACTTTACAGACTGTTGGTAAATGGGGAGTTGTACATTCAAAGTGGAAAAAACGAGCTCAAAATATACGTTAAATAAATGAAATTTTTCATATCCGTGTAGAAATCATCTACAGGAAGAAATCCGAATCTTTATAAGTTAAAGAGCCGGTCCGGTGTTTCATCCCGAGCACACGGACTGATGTATTATTCAGTGATACACGACATGGAGCTCGCCTGCGTGGATCCCTGCGGTACGRGCGTTCTTCATGCTGCGCCGAGCAGCTTCCCATCATCTGCTGAAGAAGGAACAGGAGTTACACAACAAACAATCTCCAAACAAACTCGCTGCCCCCGACTGGAGAGAAGCTGGCTCTCCCCGCGTCTCTGTAGTTATATATAGAGTTTCTCCTGCGAGGCTGTCACATTGCATTTGTCTGCGCGATGCTCTCCTTGTTCGCACTTCACACCCTCTAGACTCCGAAACGTGCCAGGCCCATGCAAGATGCTCGTCCTGCTGAGGTCAGCTGCTCAGGGAGAAACGTCTTCGGTCTTCGTGACTTCCTGTTTGTTTTAACAGGTCTATAAGCGTCCCAAACAGATCTCCGCCTGGACTCATTTCCTCAGTTTCTGCGGCCCCCCTCCTGAGCTCACGGAGATGTTAGCCAGCTTTTTTTCCCCACACCTCAGCTGTTCTCCAGCRGAGCGGCGTGGCAACAGGCCACCAATTTGTAGAAAAGAGTCTAATTTCTCAATAGCTTCAGCGGATCAATAGGCCAAGCTTGAAAGCACTTAGGAGTGATTGATGACCGAGGCTATTAGCTGGTTTGCTCTAATATCTGTTGGGAGAATATACACACAGTAATTGACATTCTGAGGTTATGTAAGAGGAAAAAAACATAAAGCTGGTTTATTTTGCAATTAAATATTGTGTGTTTGAGGAAYGTCGCACTAGCTGTTTACGCTTTGTTGTACTAGCAGTCCTTGTACCCGCTAACCTTTATTACATTTTTAAATGAAGATCATTTTGTGTTGAGAAACAACAGTTGTAGCTGTTTTGGTCCAGACTTGAAAAATTTCTTGCAACATAGCGAGATCTTGCCCTAAATGTATGTGTTTTGGATGACTCTCAGCTACTACCACACCAAATTTCCGTTCAAAATCTGTAAAGCTGACTGAATTTTAGCCATTTTTGTGCCTTTTACTCTCATCTGGGTGTGGCCGCCAGCTTTAATTGAATTGACTCCAAAAGCTGATCAGGTGTAGATGTACATCCAGTGGTTATTCTCTGAAAATCTCATTAAATTCCATTTAGTTGTTCAAGAGATATTTTGCTAACAGACAAACAATGTGGACTCAAACCATTAACATCAACATTTTAAATAATGACCTCACGCTTAAAAAAACAAAACCTTAAAATATATTTTTTGTGAATGGCCTCTGGCTACTACCACACCAAATCTGAGCTCAATATCTGTAAAACTGACAGATTTATAGACATTGTTGTGTTTGTGAATTATGATTGGCTCTCGTGGCAGTCTTTAAAAGAATTCACTCCAAAAGCTAATCAGTGGTAGATTTACATCCAGTCGTGATTCCCTGAAGGTTTCATTGAAAGCCTTTCAGTGGTTCATGTGATATTTTGCTAACAGACAAACAGTGTTGACACCGTTTGCATCAAAAGTTTTAAACAGAGACCTCACACGAGTAGTGCTCAATATGTGTTGTAGATGACTCTCTGCTACTACCACACCAAATTTCAGTTCAAAATCTGTGAAACTGACTGAATTTTAGCCATTTTTGTACTTTTTACTCTCATTTGGGTGTGGCCACCAGCTTTAATTGAATTGACTCCAAAAGCTGATTAGGTGTAGATGTGCATCCAGTGGTTATTCCCTGAAAATTTCATTAAATTCCATGTAGTTATTCAAGAGATATTTTGCTAACAGACAAACGGTGTGGACTCCAACCATTAACATCAACATTTTATATAACGACCTCACACTTAAAAAATAAAACTTAAAATATATTTTTGTGAATGACCTCTGGCTACTAYCACACCAAATCTGAGCTCAATATCTGTAAAACTGACAGATTTATAAACATTGTTGTTTTTGTGAATTATGATTGGCTCTCATGGCAGTCTTTAAAATAATTCACTCCAAAAGSTAATCAGTGGTAGATTTACATCCAGTCGTGATTCCCTGAAGGTTTCATTGAAAGCCATTCAGTGGTTCATGTGATATTTTGCTAACAGWCAAACAGAATTAACTCCWACCGTTTGCATCAAARGCTTTAAACAGAGACCTCACGCAACAAGTAGTGCTCAAAGTATGTGTTGTGGATGACTCTCWGCTACTACCACACCATATTTCAGCTTAATGTCACGACACGTGTGTAACGTTGAACACCAAGTATTTCAGTGATAATCTGAAGTGTGTTACTGCATGTTGTTACTTCTGTGCACTTGTTATTTAAACACAGTGAAGACAGTAGCTTTCAAAGGTCCTGTTAAAGCACATTATATAGTTTTAAAGTGGGAAATGGTTCGTGGAGAGATCGGTGTTCTTGTCGCCACATGTGAGAGCASCGCATTAGCTTCATTCAATTATTCAATAACTTCTCCATTACTGGATCCAGCCTGCTTTCTCTGGGTTGATGGGTAAAAAGGGAACTTCTGCTGAAGTAACCCTCTGAGTCTTCAACCCCACCCCGGTGCATGATGGGATGATGGTCACAATTAACAGAGTGCACACTTTAGTTTGTCAGTTGTGTGATGAGAGTGTGTCTGTTAGCAACATATCTTAAGAACCACTGGGTGTATTTTAATGAAACTGGCAGAAAGTAATCACTGGGTGCACACCTACAACTCTTTACTGTTTGGAGTTGACTCGATTCAAAATGGCAGCCGCAGCCGATGGTAGTTAAAAAATGCAAAAGTGGCTATGACACGGTCTGTTTTACAGATGTTGAGCTAAAATGAGGGATGGTAGTATCTGAGACTGATCTCTCACAGCTGTTCTGAGAGCAAACAGATCTGACCAAATACAGCATACTTTAAATTTTATAATTAATTGGGAGTCAACGTTGTCTGTTAGCAAAATTTCTCATGAAGCACTGGACTTACTTTATTGAAACTTTCATGAAATAATCTCTGGATGTGCCTCTTGAACTGATTCCCTTTTGGAACWGGACCAGTTCAAGATGGCCGCCACAGCACTGGATTTAGAAAGCACAAAAAATGGCTTTAATTCAAACAGTTTGACAGCTACAGAGCTAAAAATGTGGTGTTTTAGTAGCCGAGAGCATTTCACTTCACATTCTCTGGTCTTGTGATGTTGGAGCTCTCACACGCTTTGTCTCCACCCTCCTCTTCGTCTCCAGGTACCAGCAGGTGCCAGTGGTGCTGGTGGGCAATAAGGTGGACCTGGAGGATGAGCGAGAGGTGTCCCCCAGCGAGGGCCAGGCGCTGGCCGAGGACTGGGGCTGCCCCTTCATGGAGACGTCGGCCAAAAGCAAGACGATGGTGGACGAGCTCTTTGCCGAAATCGTCAGGCAGATGGACTTCTGCCCTCTGCCCGACCGGAGAGAGACCTGCTGCCCCCCCTGCAGCGTCCAGTAGCAGCCAGACAGAAAATAGATCCACGTTAAAGAGTTAGAAAGGGGGAAAAATAAGAATAAAAAAAGAATCCACTTTTGCTGTTTCTACCTGCTTACTGTATTTGAACCTGCTCTCTGAACAAGAGGCATTTTGGGAAATGTAGGAAGTTAGATTGTGACTGAAGGAATGAGCAACACTTGACCTCCAGCATCCTGATCATGTAGGAGTGAGTTTCCCCGAAGCACCGTGGTGCCAAAGCCATCAACCAACAGGATCGTGGTGCTAAAATGCTTTAGGGAAAGCARCCATAAGACCCAAACGGGTCTTTCGTAGCTCCTCTGTTTTCTTCCGCTTGTGTTGTTTCTGTTCTTCCTCTCTGCACCTTCCTTGTTTGACGGTGTGAGACGGACAGATCCGTCACGTCGCACCAAAAGTAAATTTCACAGCAGGTTCGCCTGAATACGAATGAATGAAAAAGATGAAGGAATGTCTAAAAACTACAATTAAAAACGCACCTTTTTTTGTGGGGGGGTTCACGCCGAAGATCCCAAATGTGGACATGCTGAGGAGGACGTGTGCATGAAGCTGTCACGCTGACATCGAGTACAATCAACCTCACCCAAAGAGACAGGAAGGTTCAAAACGTTTCCGGGACACTTTTTATTTTGTTTGTGTTTTTTGTGTCTTTTTCACACCGCAGACGATACAAATGCCTTGTTTCATGTAGAAGATGAAGAACCGTGTCGGTGCGTAGCTCATGTAAGCGAAGTCACAGCAGATATGTTAGTAGTTTGATGTCAGACACTTTTTTTCCAAAAAAAAAAAAAAGAAATAAAACTTTATGCACATGAGTGTGGTGTGTTTGTTGTTTTCAAACAGTGTTTTGGATTCATTTGACTTGGATGTGTTTGATTTAGCCTCTTAGCTTTGCTGTTTAGCAGCAACATGGCGGGATCCTGGCCTGCGTCGAGATGATTTACGATGTTTTGATTCGACGGCGAATCAAAACCATGTGTAGTCCCACTTCTGCTGCTGCCGTTTGTGCCAACATATTCTGCTCCTGGGATTCTGATTGCATTCAAACACTATTAAATGACAGGAGATTTTGGTCCTAAAAGCTTAAATTTGGCTTTCTAAAACTGAAAGAATATCTCCTGCTATTTATAAAAATAAATAATGAAATACAGGGAAGTAATTAAAAAAAAATCTATAATATAATAAATATTGAGCAGTAAAAGTAGCCCAAAAATAAAAAAATAAATAAAACAATATTGCAGTGATCGTGTGAGCCAAAGTTTTATGAGCTTGTGTGATGAAGATGACTACKACCACACCAAATTTTAGCTCCATATTTGTAAAATTGACTAAATTTTAGCTATTTTGTATTGTTTAAAATTTATTGATTATAGTGGCCATCCTGAAAATGTTTGATTCCAATACAGATAGACATCCAATGAATATATTTCCTGAATTAAACTCTGTCCAGGGGTTCTTTAGATGTTTTGTTAACAGACAGCAGGTGATAAACACAGCAGCAGCTGGCTTCATTTATAAAATACAGAACAAATAGAACCTGAAAATACAACTTTAGTGTAGAGATGAAAATGACCTGCTTTAGTAGGTCTTATCTGTCATGATTCAATTGGTATTAAACCCTAAATAAATCTGCTGTTAACAGCGCCACCTGCTGTCACAAAGTAGAACTCCTTCAACCCCGGAACCTTTGTTTTTGGTTCCTAACACCCGGATGTAAATCGGCGTTGCACACAAGTGTCCTTCAGCTTTTAGCGTTCGTAGCACGCCGTTTGTGTGTTTATTGCTCGTTTTAAATTAGTTTTTATTCGCACATATATGTAGATATATTTGTAAAAAATGGCAACGGGGATCGCGTGTAAATTTTTCCAGCGACGTAAGTAGCAGTCAGCCTAAAAAGCGTTAAAGCTCGAGCTAAAGAGTTAGCTCGAGCTAAAGAGTTAGCTCGAGCGGGACAGCAAGGTTATTTAATCACAGAAGCACTTGTGATGCACGTAGCGTGTATATGCATCACTAATGTGATCGTAGGTTGTCGATGTTGTGATTTGTTTAAAAAAAAAAAGRCAACTGAATGAGTTAGTATGCGAGTTTAAAATGACTCTACTCTGGTTTAACCCTACAGTTTTTASCTTTAAATGTTTGCAGCTGCTGTGAAGCTTCACGTGTTAAATTTGTGTTTGGTGGTAGAGCAAGTCTGCTAATGTTTACAGGTTACAATTATAAAGAGCAGTAAGTTACTCAGGTCGGTCTGTTACATGGCACTGACACGAATAAAGACTTATAGACTGAGGATTAGCAGCATCTTGTTTTGTTTTTAGAATAAAAAAAGCTGTTTTACACATTAGTACAGAAATGAACGCATGAGCACTCAGTGCAGTTAGTCTTGGCTAACTAAATATTGGATACAGTGAATATATTTGTTTAGTACAACTCTCCAAAAAATGTGTATGTTGTGGGTCAAAAGTGTGGATTAATTTCTGTGATCTAAGTTTAATCCTGATCATAACCTCTGTAAGAGTCTGTTTTTGTTAAACATGTCGCCCTGATTTTATGTTCCTCCAGAGTCAATGAGACTTAAAACAATATTTTATACATCTAATTTTAAATTATGACCTTATCAACTTAGTACAGACTAACATCAAGGTTTGATGATCTGCTCTTCATGTTCCTGTGATTGTTTTCAAAGAAGTTTAAATTAGTTTATTCATTATTTTTTGTATGAAAAAACAACATTAAATCTTTATACAATAAAAATGCAAATCATACACGAAAGGTAGCAGAAGAAAAAAATCTTATATCTGCCTCTTTTCTCGAAAAAAAAATGAATAAAAAATAGTCTTCAAATAACAAAAACAAAACAAAAAAAAGAATAAAGTAATAAATAAAGGTTAAACTCCTAGAACAACAACTTGTGTAAATACACATTATTCCATTACATATTTCTCCAACAGAGTAAGCATCATCATTCTCTTGAATACACCCATTGATTTGGTGTTTTTAAAGCCATCTTCCAGATTATTCCATAATCTTATTCTCTGCATTGAAGTACACCGTTCCTTCAAACTGGCTCTAAATGTAGGTTTRAGTAAAGAAAACTTCATAGGTTAGAAAATCAACATTTCCTTCATTCGGTGCGTCTCTCAGGCTTTGCCTCGACTACAGCAGCTCTGCGTCCGTCCCCCGCCGAGGTTTTCAGTCAGCGCAACGCCGTCTTCTCCAGAGAGCAGGCCAGGCAGAGAGCCCTGTACCCCCGCATCGAGAAGATAGAGGTGTCGATGCAGGGCCCGGGTCTGGACGGCACGCTCCTCATCATGAACAAAGGCATGTCGACGCCGCTGAGCTGTGCCAGACGTAAGCCAACTGAATCCAAACCTCAAACAATGTTCAGGTCTCCCTGTGTTTARCCTGGTGGTTGTGCTCAGTAAACTGTGTTGTTTTCTTTCCCCCTCAGATGTGACAGAGTACCACGTGAAGAACTCGGCTCTGGCGCTGGTGGACGGGGAGCTGTGGTCTCTCAACCAGCCCCTCACCCACTCCTGCACCCTCAAGCTGCTCACATTCAAAGACAAAGACCCAACTCTAGTCAACCAGGTACAGCTAGAAAGACGAGAGAKTCTGATTTTCTGTCTCCTTACCCAGACCCTGTCAGGAGTTTAATTGTGTCCCTTCAGGCCTACTGGCGTTCCTGTGCTGCTCTGCTCAGCCAGGTGCTGGAGACGGCATTCAAGGATGATTATACMGTGGATCTGATCAGTACACCTGAAGTACCAGGTAAAGGAACACCTCCTAATTTTGGCTTCTGATTAATTCCTGCCTCAAATGGGCCAGTTGTGGGGTTCGATTTGTTCATCGCTCACAGCAGGGGGCGCTGTTGAGCTGAAGCAAGAAACCAGAGCTGTTGCCTTTCCCACAGGGCTAATGCAACTGTTAGCCTGAAATACTTTYACTAAATGCAGCTAGTGTAGCAGCTAAACAGCGGTGATGTTGCCTGGTCTCTTCGTAGCAGTTAGCTTTAGCGAGCTACAATTTGAAACTGGTGTTAAAGGTTGGATGTCTTGTTTGAGATTGCTGGGCTCAGGTGTGTTCTGCTAATATTATTCTTCTGCAGTCCTTTCAGGGGCGTTCTGCTGCGATGTGGTCCTCGACCCTGAGCTGGACTCATGGACCCCCCTTGAGGTGAGCAAGGCAAAAACTGAACCATAAGAGCTCAACAGACTTGCAGATGAAGGCAGAGATGTGGAGTTTTTATTTGTTTGTTCTGTAAAAAGGGGAACTTTTAGTTTTTCTAACTGTGTCCAAGTTTCTGKGTGACTTCTGTTTTGAATCGGACTCGGAAGTGTTTGAGAAGTTAGCACCTTGTGTGTCTAATGTTTGTGCTTAAAATGAACAATAATCTGTATATTTGGGTCTGGAGAAAGTGTGTAGGAAGTGTGCGTGTGAGCGTTTACCTGATGTGTGTTTTTCTTCAGGAGTCGTTTCACTCTCTGACCAAAGCGGCCCATCAGCTGATCCAGAAGGACCTGGCCTGGGAGCATCTGGAGGTGGCTCCTTCTGTAGCATTGGAGGTGTTCTCTCATAGCAGGTAGACTCTCATTCCCCCGCCCCACCCTCCACCTCATTGCTCTTGTGTTTTCTCTCTGAATTAAACTGCAAAAGTGTTARCTTTTTACCGTTGTGTGTCTCAGGTGTAAACTGGAAGAAGTCGAGCAGAAAGCATCACAGAGTCCTAAAGGCACCGTCCTGCTCTACAGGTGATAAAAAACACCTTACCGGTAGCTGCTTTTTAAATTGTAAAAGTTATTCTGGCTTTGCTCAGCTGTTGACTGGTTTTTGCAGATGTGGCGATCATGTGCTGCTGAGTGGGGGCCCTCTGGTGGGCAGAACTGGCCTGTGCTCCCAGTACGAGGTGACTGCTCTCCACAGCCTGGGCCAGGGCCCCTGGGGCCACCACCGACGAGCTCAGGGCATCTCTCTGCCTCTGCAGCTGCCAGTAAGCATGGGATAAAACTGTTCAGAGTTCAGCTACTTAGTCGTACCACAATGTTATATTCATCAGTTTATTTATGGGTGTGTTCACACCCGACACATTTGGTCCGCTTTAAACGGACCAGAGTTAATTTCCCCTGTYGGTCCGGACCTTTTTTTTACAGGTGTGAATACACTTGTGAGACCCCTGGCGTGGATCAAACAACTTTTTGAGGTGGTCTTGGTCCGCTTCCAAACGAACTCTGGTGCGGTTGAATACAGACCGGCCTCAAACCAAACAGGAAACATGAACCTTTTTGGACTTCACAGGCCACCGTTGCTAATGCTAATACTGTGCTACAATGAGCCGAGCATCTTGTCTCCTTTAGGTTGCGGCACACATTTAACCACGCWGTCCCAAAGTTATAAATATGTCTTAGGGTTGGGCGATATTGGCAAAAACATTAATCATGATTAATTGTGGTATTTAGCCGATAATGATTAATATGACGTTTAATCCTCTGCATGTTSTAGTCACATGACCAATTTAMATCACTCTAGTGGGAAAGATGTGCTCTTTGTAAAAGTCTGTTCCAAAATGTGTCTAAAGTACAGACTCCAGGCTACACATTAAAATTGTGTTGATAGACCAAATAAAACCAGTTATGATGTATAAATTACTGAACATTTTTTTAATGTTCTTCATATTTGAAGTGGAGAGGAGCACTGAGCGGACTGACTATAGAAACCTTCAGTCAGTCTGCCTGGTGGCACTGATYGTTTAACCAGCAAGTGACAAAAAATAATTGCTTAAAGTTTTTCTGATGGTTAATTGCACACAATACGATTTTTCCCAACCCTAGTGTATCATCGCAAAACCACTGAATGAGCTGCTCCTGACATTCTGAATAGTCAKTTKTATTAACAGCACCATCTTCTGTCCTGCCCCTGTCATTTCTGTCCARTGGGAGCAATGACCGTCACCTGCGTGGCTTGSTTTATAAATTATAGTCCACTTGCAAAAAGCACAATGTGAATGCAAATCACAACAAAGGAAAAAAATAAAGTCCACTATTTKGTCCAGACCAAACAAGTGGACCAAAAGTCTTTCCAGAGCTTACTAATTTACAAATGCTCAAGTAAGAGGATCCAGATTTTACAAAAAGGGAGTCAATGATTTAATGATCCAAAACCATTTTCACTCCTCTAGTGACACTTCCAGACTGCACGTGAGCCGTTTACAGTTCTCCTGAAACCTAACATTTGTTGGCAGCATGCTTTGAGCTGTTGTCATKTTGAAATGTAAAACCACCCCCAACATCATGATGATGCAACTAGGGCTGGATGTGATTGGTGAAAAAATAATATTTTGGCATTTAGCCTATAACGTACGGAAGAGCATTGCATTCACCAAATAAAATAAAAAAATAGGACCCCTGATCTCATAATTACAAGATAAGTTAAAGAGAGTCAGCTGGTTTACATTACAGGAAAAGTAAACAATGACGGCACTATCACATTTTATATGCTTTTATTTCCTCTTAGGTTTGAAATATTGAGTTTACTTAATGTGGATGATGTTGTATCTATTAATGTGGGTTTATTAATCAATCCACCTGCCAAGGTACAAACTCTTTGAAATAGAGATCAAAAATCAACATCCAACATCCATAAGCTTTCTGCTTACAGGTCAAACATTTTTATTAAAATAGGAGTAAACTGTGTACTTATTAAAAGTTACAGTTTAGTGTTCTTAGGACTGAAGACTTTCTGAGGAAAGAAGTTTTTAAACATCTTTTCTAATTTTAGTGTTTTCAACTGAGGAGCTTTGGAAAAAAAAGTATAGCAGAGGAAGTTCTTTGCACAGAAAAAAATAATTAATTTTTATTGTTTACAGCTGTTGGTCAAGCTGCCTCTCTGAGCCCTCGCTTTAAAAACAGTCAGGTGATTTGTCGCGGTTTTGTTGTGCTCGAGTCGTGAACACACGGTGTTCCGGTAGAAATGCTGTGAGCTGCACACACACACACACACAAACACACACACACACACACACACTGTATATCTGATTGGGTAAAACTTTGACTTTGGTTGCTTTATTGGGTGAAAGAACTGTCAGTTTAATCCCTAGACAGCTTTAACAAGTTTCTTTYTMTCCCGTTCATTTTTACAATGACGAACACATGCGGAGGAAAACTTTAATCCAGGTGTTTTTTTTTCTTGGTTGTCCAATGGACAACTGGGAGGCGGGATGTGGTTGTCCGAAATGAAACAATGATTGCATCAACCACTGTTTTACGTTGATTAAAAAAAAAAACTTCATTCCGAAGGTGTGACGGCTTTTGTTTAGCCGTGGCGGTGCGCCACGATCATTTACATGTAGGGGAAACCCTACCTGCACATCGGTTAGCGTGTTCTGTTCAATTCATCTTCGGCACAAACATAACACCGTCCTTTAGCTGGTAGTGGTGCTTCTGGTTTCAGCAAATGGATATTTCATAAATAAGAGTTCGATTCAATACAGTCCGAACAAAACATTACAAATGGCATTGATATTAGTTTGTCGACATTACGCAGGTATCTTCCTTGTGGTTGTTAAAGCAAAAAGCCCACTCTGACAAACTGGAAGTCGCTCTCTTCCTGCAGTACCGGATGCTACGGCTATAAGTAGCCAATGCCTCTGAAATGCTTAAATTACGTCCTGAATGTACACAAAGAGCACACACTTCCTCCTGTTTCAACCCTGGGTCACAACTTTATTAAACTCTGGTGAATGAACATTMTACAGCTTRTTCTGGGCACTCGTGCGTTCGGCATTACACACATACACGTCCAGGACCGTTACCTGCTCAAAATCCACAGGAGATCAGGATCTCATAATTATGACATCTTATCTCATAGTTATGAGATCCTCATCTCATAATTATCACATCTTATCTCATAGTTATGACATCTCATAATTATGAGATCCTGATCTCATAACTATGACATCTTATAATTATGACATTTTATCTCATAATTATGAGATTAGATCTCGTAATTATGAGATCAGGTGTCTTTTTTTGTGAATGCAGTGCTCTTCCTTAATAACGATTATTGTGATGATTAACAGAAGACACTTGCAGATAGTCAGTCACCCGGTGTTCTAAAATTACACGTAGAACTCATCAGTCAAACTAATTTTTAACAGGTTAAAATAGTGAGCTGGGAGTTGAAACCCAWTGTTTCCACAATGTGGACACAGTATGCCACAGCCACACCATGTTATTTCCTTCCAGAGTTTACTTTGCTGCTCATCAACAGATCGACGGAGAGCATCGTGGATTCTCGGCTTTCTGTCATTTGCTGGAGTAGAGTTTGTTGTAGCCGATGTTGTGGCCTCAGTTCACATTTCCTGGCTTTCCTCATACTCCTGTTTATGGCAGTGTTTCAGGTGGTTACCGTAAACAAAGTTGTTGTGTTAGTGTTAGCTGCTCCGCCCTGCCTTCCACTGTTGTTATGTTACGGGCTTACATGCGCTTGATAAAGATGTACCTTATTTATTCATGTAAAATACGACCATCATTTTTTTGAGCTTAAAAATAATTTAAAAAAATCTAATCCTCATTCATATTTCCACCTCTAAATTCAGACAGACTTCAGGTTTTTTCGGCGTTTGCGGTTTCCCCTGTGGTGGGGAAACATTATTTGAGGACACACTCAAGGACGAGCAGCACGAGCTTCCTGTTCTGTGTGTCACTGAAAAATAAAACAATCTTTCCAGAGCAGAAGCCWSTWGTTAAATTAGCAAGATGGATTTTGTCAGATCATGAACATGTAACTAATGTCCAAGTCTTCTTTTTATCGCTGGGGCTAACAAGAAAAAGAAAATRTTTTTTTTATTTTTCCTCCTCTGACTCTGTTGAGTAAATAACTACTGTTTATATGCTTTGCAATGCTGGACTGACAGTGGGAGGGTGGTGGAGATAATTTATCCTCCCAGACACAATATTTCAGTTATATATGAGAAAATATTGAAACTTAATGTAGTTGTATACAAAAAAAGTCACTCAAAAATTACTCTCATATGTAATATACCTCCCCTACTTTTTGGATGATTTTTGCGGTTGAAGTTCTCTGATTATACATGCATAACTCTGGTATATCAGTTTTTCTGATGGTTGTTTGCACACGATAAGATTTTGTTAGAGATGCAATAATTCTGGATTTTTGAGCGATACCAGTTTTCTGTTTTGGCTCCTTGGATCGATTAGTGCATAAAAGTCTCAAAACACTCCAGGAGAAATATCTAGATTTGTCACTAGTYGCTTTAAAAAAGTGCTTGAAAGGTCTGAAAACTGGTCAAATGTAACGAGAAAGTTGGTTGACACCAACCACCTGCTTGTTTCTCAGTCTTGTGCCAGTGGTGCATTCAGGGACCAAAAAATCAGATTTTTCAAGAGTTACTGAAGAAAAACCGGTAACAAAATTTGATTTTTTAAAATTTTTTGTTTGTTGGTTCAGATGATCTCCGATTTTAGCCGATCAAGCTGAAAAACGTATTTAACCTTTTTAAGGCMGATTGCTCGATGCTTCCCTAGATTTTACCCAACCCAAGCTGCCYCCACCATGTTTGACTAGTGATGGAGTAAAAGGTTTTGTCTCCCTCACATCCAGAGAGAGAAATATATTGTGCCTTCTTTTTTAGTAAATTCCAATGTTTGTTTGCCGCTCTYACAGATTACTGATAATCTTCTTTTTTCTTTCCATTTTTCCCCTCACGCTGCTCTCCATATTCTGTGCTCGTTTCACACATTTACAGCTTTCAGTTTTACCAGAATAGGAACGGTCCACAAACATGTTTTTGTTTTTGCAGAAAGTTATGAGACCAGTGGGGGGTGAAGAAAAGAAGATTTTATGTAAATTTTCTGTTAAGATGCAGCAGTTGCTCTACATGTGCCGCTCGTCACGTTTTCCTCTCCGTCTCCTCAGGCTCACCACATKGTTTGGAGGAAACTGAGACAACGGGCAGAGAAGCTGGTAAGAACAACACCTCSAACTGTGGGGACATCAAAGCTGAAGCACCGAGGCCAAGCCTACTGGGGGGTGGGGGGTATTGGTCTGGTCTAATTGCTGCAGGCTTGTCCAAAATGACGTCCTGTTTCACGGTTGACTCCTGATATCACAAAGCAGCCAGAGGTTAGGATTTTACACTGTTATTTTTATTGCATTCATTATAATGCTGGCAAAAAGAGAAGGGGGAGACGCATCGTGGGTTGTAATCTCCGGGAAACAGCAGGTCCCAGCCACCTTGTGAAGGACAAACTGTTTACTGAACCAAACATCAAAAACACAGAAACCAACAGGAGATCCAAAACATTTTTTAACATCTCTCTCTCTCCAGACTCCACWCGAGGCGTCGTTTGGATCGATGCAAAGTCCAATCTGCTCCGGTTGCGTAACTAAAACGCTCAAAGATGAAGCGTAAAATCTCCACATTTAAAGTAGGCTAGGAGTTAATTTTGGATGGAGCCGTCGAAGCGGAATATATTTCTCTGCTGTCTTTCTAGTCTGTGTGCGGCGGTGATTGCGCAATAAAAAATATATATATAAAAAGCATGATGTTCATTAATAGACACACTTAACTTGGCAGCTGATGACTTTGTGTCTCTGTGGCCTACATTTTACTGAGTTATACTTCTTCTGGGAACTGAAATAGCTCTCAGAGTTGGAGCGTCATTAAAAGAGAAAAATATTTTCACTGCGTATCTMTCGAGCGTTTTACAAGCTCAAAATTAGAAAGGTAGAAGTGCTGCTGTACTGGCAGAACATCATCTTTTTTTTTAATGTTCCTGGAGGTCACTGTTTATTCTACTAACGCCTAAAGTAGCTTTTCATTTAATCTGTACRGAGGACAGAGTTCCCTAACTGTCCTTCCTGTCCCCACATGTTAACCAGAACAAATTTACCACTAATAGATGGCAGAGCTATAAACTCAGACAGGCCTGTAAGATCTTTAAATGACATTTCTACAACAGGTCATCTCCGGTGGATTTAATTCCTTTTTATTAAAATGCACAACACTGAATCTCAGCATCTCAGCAATAAAATAGGTCCCAACACAAAAAA